AAATCTGGCTCGATTACACACTAACCTGTTTTGAAGCAAGTATTGTGCATTTTGGATCTGATCTTGGGTGCCTATGATGGTAATGATGCGATCATCAGACCCTTCTAAAGGTTCATCAATTTTGATAGATGCACCAGATTCATGACGGATTTGTTTAATCCTCTGACCACCTTTTCCGATAATTGAACCTGCCAACTAAAGAAACATTTATGTTATTTATTTTATATATTTTTTTTAAATCACTGGCCAAGACTGAAAGATTGTGAATAAAAAGGGGATAACATGGCAACTCACATCTTTAGGAATGGTTACTTGTGTTGTTATGACTGGTCCACCAAGATCTCCATATGACCCCCGACCTTTCAAGAGGAAAAAAAATAAATAAAAAATGTTAAGACAATTACTCTAACCAAAGTAAAAATGTAGGAGTGCTACACTAAGATTGAACACTTACCATATCCAGAGCCACCCTGAAGAGGGAAAAAAAAAAAAAAAGGGGGGAGAAAGAAGAAAAGTTTTTAAAGACAATAATACAGGTGATCAATTGACAAGCACCCCCCCCCAAAACCTTATTCTGTTTCAAGCTGAAGAGTAACCCCCTACCCATAAACAGCCAATTTAGACCAATCCCTGAAGCCAAACAAAAAGAAAATAAATTATATTTATATATTTGTTCTTACCATTCCATCATAGTGGTCAGGCCTCCCTCTTCGGTCCCTAAATAGAGCAGAAAAAAAAAATAAAAAAAAAAATAAATAAAGTTAGTATTAACAAAACCACCACATAAGCTTTATATGGATTTGTTTTAATTTCCACACTGCAGTCACACAGTTATTTGAGTCAAGATTAAGATAAATCAGATTTTAAATTTTAGTTTTATAAATATAGATTAGACAAAATTAGAAATGTTAACAGCGTGCGCACACACAGACATTCTTACCCTCCTCTAGGTGGTGGAGGCGGTGGAAGTGGAAGATTGCGGGCTCTACTGCCACCTCTGCCTCCACGACCTGGAGGAGGTGGAAGCGGTCCTCGCCTTGGGCTCATATCATCATAGTCTCTTCTTGACTGTGGCATTGGGCGACCAGCAGGGCCCGGAGGCATCCGATCAAAGCCACCCCTGGCATGCATTGGAAAACCCATCGGTCGTCCACGACGATCATCGAACATCATTGTGAAACCTCCATATTCATATGTTTCATCATAGAAGTTGGGATCGTAGGGCTGTGCTCGTCCCTTGATGGGAGACTTAAGAGAGAAGGGAAAATTAATGAAATGTCCAGAACAGTGATTCAAGTGGTTTCACTTGCTTGGATAAAATTAAAAAGGATTACCTCAGATATTAGATCAAGAATAACTTTTATGCATTCAACCACTCTGTCTGGCTTTCCACCAATAAGCACAACACGATCTGTGGAATGGGGACAGCACTCCTGGAAAAGCTTAATTGTAGTCTGTGTATTCTGCAATCATAAAGAGTGTAATAAACAGATGTTCAAAAATATGCATTTTGATTTACATACAGCAATGTAATGATTAGTTAACAACCTTCCAAATTTTAAGTCACTGTGACAGAGTGTGTAAAATAACCAACTCAGCAAATCAGACTAGAAATGCACATATTAAAATATATACCAACCTCTCTCAGTTCTTTGATTTTTGCACCTTTCACACCAATAATACCTCCAGCTAAGCTTTGATGGATCAAAAGTCTCAACTCACAATCGAAGTCATTTCCTTTGTAGTGCTGGTACTGCAAAAAGATTTACATTTAGCATACAAAATAGACTGGGAAACATGGGGGAGAAAAAACAAACACACACGTATATACCTCTTCTAAAGTAGGAATGATTTTCTTTAATATTTCTCCAATGGTTTCGATGTCTGCACTGATGCTTAAAATACTGGATACAAGTCACGAAGCAGAAAGGGAAAAGGCAGATGTCATTAATGTATTCCATAAAGCAGTTTACTTATAAGGATGCTCCTGAATTACAAAAATGCTTCCAGTTTTCTAAAGTCTATACATGCATATTTGTAAAATTTTATAGAGCAATAAAAATGTTTAGATGTTCGTGAAGGGAAGGGTTTTTGGAAGGAAACAGATTAAGCTGGCAAGTAGGTGGCACAGAACAATTACATTCCCTGTAAGTACTAGTTTGCATCTTTCTGAATGATATGCTGTCACTTTAGGGGAAGCTTGAAAATGCAAGTGGTGGACATTGTACGGATGAAACCACTCAAAAAAAAATAATTACATACTAATGGGCTTTGAAGAGAAGGAAAAAAAAAAAAAAGGCAACATAAATGTGCAGTGAAAGAGTTAGCGCTTCATTAGGAAAAAAATAAAAGAGAAAAAATAAATATGAGACAGGCAATGTTGGAGAAATCAGATGAACCACGAAGACAAGTAGAAAACAACTAGATGTACAATGTGGTAAATATGCTACTCTTAGAATAAAAGTTCTCTTTATTATCAATTAAAATTAGCGGGCCTTTGGACCAAAACTAAGGAAGATTTGTGGAAGTAAAGAAGAAAGGAAAAAAAATAAAAATCTCAAATGGGGAAGGGAGAAATAGTAAAGACAGAAAAAAACAAAAAACAACACTGTATGTAGGGGATACTAATCATATTAAAAAAAGGCAGGTTATCATACATTTCTCTTTCTAATCAGGCAGTGAGGCATAAACTGTTGGGACATACCGCTCGGGGCCACTGCTGTCTGGGACTGAAACACTGGCATTGTACTGCATTGTCATTGGCGTTCGTGGATGTTGGCATTGGGCAAGGGCATTCAATCAGAAGATGTCAGGAAAAGTACCCGTTGGGCAACGAGCACATTTTTGGGCATAGCCAACCAGGGTTTTCACATGGGCGTTCAGGGATAGATGGGCCGTCATGGTGGGCAACGCGGGGTAAGACGATCCAGTACATGGGCAACGGAGATATGTGGCCAAAAAAAACAAGGAGAGGGAAGAGGGGGGGAAAAGCAATACATTTTAATTTAATACAAACTAAACTCATTTTTCTTCAATTAAACAGTATAAAGCCATACTGTACTAATACAATTAAGCGTGTAATTGGACTAAGTTGCACATAGCTTAGCGCTAATGGGATTACATTTCTCTTTCAGTTCCATTAAGCAACTGAAGAAGGCTGGTTTTTGAATGTAGATATCCCACAAATGCAACAGATTTACAATAAAATCTGGTAAAAACAAAAACCAATTCCAGATACTTTGAGAGATCTGGGGGATGGAAACCTGAAAATAAACAAAAACATCACAGTATATCCCAGTTAGCCTCCTCATATTCCCCACATTTCAGGAATAATTGTTGAAGTTAAAGAAGGTTTCATAAATAGATTACGGTTATACGCTGAACTGATTCAGATGTAGCTTACAGCAAAATATTAAAATAAAAATAACTAGTTTAAAATAAACTATATAATTCTGTTGAATACTATACATAAAATGTAAACATTAAAAGTCTTACTGACACCCTGCACAAAAAAAAAAAAAAGCCATGTTTAAGAACAAGACACCACAACTCACGTCTGTCCGAAGTGCCTTAATATTTTTTCCTCCTTTTCCGATCACTGCACCAGCATTCTGAAAGGTAAAAAAGAAAAATTGTTCAAAAATAAAAAAAAGTCACCACACAATGACATGCCAGTTTGCAAAACAGAAAAATAAAGAAAGTCATACTTTGCTCTGAAGCAAAATACGGAGTTCAACCATCATATCAGTGTTTCTAGATCTCTTGAATGCTTGCTCCTCCTCCATATCTTCAGCTGGACGTTTACCTGGATGAGAAAACATATCGGGATGATTCTAACAGACCTACTCATTGTATAATATGCAAAAATATAGGGTGAAGATCCCATCATCAATGCAATAAACAATAGCATGTTGTGAAAGAGCACAAAACTCACCGTTAGTCTCTGTGTTAGTGAATTCAACCTCTTCCTGCTCTGTCTCCATCTTCTTTCAATAAACTTTTAAAGTGGTGGTTGTTATCTGTCAAAAACCAAGCAGGAATAAAGGCTATCATAAAAGTCATTGGAGACATGGTTGCTGCGCTATCCCAAGAACCAATAAAACCAGTGGGCTGCACAACACGGTTATAAATGAAATATCGTGCTGGGTGGGGCCAACAGATAATATCATAACGCAAGGGCAGCCTATGACTACCTTGCATTAACCCCCATAATTTGCAATTCTGATTTGTACTGGCTCACAAACCGTAATCAAAATTATTTCTCCATATGTCGTCCAATCAGCACCATCCCCATGCACTGCTCCAATTAATTATGAATAACCCGCCCGATCAACCAAAAAACACTAGCTATTTCCATGGCAGGAGCGCTGCCTCCGCTGTAACAAAGCCCGGGCACCTGGTCTCACAGAGCACAGGGCGGAAACAAGCCACTGTCATGTATTTGGAGCTTGTGTCGGCAGCGCTCCCTTCCCCCGCCCGGCACACAGCTCCCCGCTCCTTTGTCTGAGCGACAGCCCATCACACCGGCCAGCCCGGCCCCGCCCCTCTGCCGCGAGCTTCCGCCACCAGCCATTTTGTGTTTGAGGAAGAAGACTGATAGACAGCATGGCGGCTGCAATACACTGATACCACCCCCAAACACTGCGATAAAACGCATCCGCGTATTACGTGACAAAGGACTCCGGACGTATTTACTAAAATACGCATTGTGTCGAATGACAACCTTTGGCCGTTGTTGCGGCTATTAAAGTCAGTTTGGAAAATGTCCATGAATTAGCCACTTGTGCCTAAAATTTTCAGTAGCTTCACGTGTAGGCCCCACAAACCATTTAGCAAATAACCCCCACAGAGGAGGCGAGGAAGGGGTGGATAACAATCCGCACGGAGGGGAGGAAATACTCAGTAACCGCCTTCCCGGTTAGCGGTAAAACACGCAGCATTCGGCATGATTACCGTGCGGTTACCACCACAAGCCCCTGTAGTGCTATATCTGGCGGGGAATGGCGGTGGTCACACACAATAGCAGTTATCTTTCATTATTAGCAGTAATACAGGATGACGCCAAGTATGGCCGCCATGGGGTGAGGGTACAGATCAGCCAGCAGCACCATGGCCAGATCCCTTCCTCCCACCGCAGCCGCTCTGCACCAACACGAGGGGGCGCCTCCCATTACACAGGGAAGGGAGTCGCATTGAAACCAGCCGGGGAGCACCCCGAATACTACCGTGGGAGGGCCCATAGGTCTCCCGCCCGGTACACAGCGAGCCAGGGCTCACACGATGTACGCTCCCAGCAGAAGGCCGCAGTAGGTCGGCAGTGACGCAGGCAGAATTAGCTATTATCAGGGCTCAGGCCGAGTCTACCGATTGCCAAACACATCGTGAACTAACCAGCCACAGGTAGCGATAGCACCCCCCCCCCACCGGGTTACAGCTTTGTATTAGCTACCTACCTCGTTGCTCCTCCGCCGTCTACGAGCTACCTCCACGACCGCGGCCGAAGCACAAGATGAAACCACAGCGCAGTGCAACCTACCCAAATGGCCCGGGCTCCGAGTGCTAGGCGGCTATTGATTGGCCGAATTACAATAGGAGAGATCCCATTAGCTGAGCCAACAGCCAATCCACGGATAAGCCCGCCCACACCACAGGCCTCGAGCTATTCAATTCAAGCTTGGTTGAACCGAAAGCGGGTTTTTTTTCTTCCCCTCCGCCCCCCCTTCTTTCATTTTCCCCCTCCGCCCCCCCCCTTCTTTCATTTTCCCCAGAGCTAATAGAAAAGGAATATGAGTATGATGGCGCTGGCTTAAAGTATGGTAGGATATCGCTGTTTAAACACGGTGTAGTAAAATAAATAAAAAAAATTAAATAAAATACAACTCTGACGAATATGACACTCACTGTAAAGAAACCTCTATTGACTGTTGATAAAGGAGCAGCGGTCAATGTTGTTCTATAAGGAACATAAAAACCAAAAAAGGCCTAGTCACATCCGGTGCCCTTTCAGTTCGTTGCCAAGACAATAGAAGTGGCGGTTGGTTCGGTGAAGTCTCGCGGTGTTTGGCTCAGTGACTGCCAATCAGTGAGCTCTCGCCGCGTCTTGGGTGAGCGCGTGGGAGCTGGCGGTGGCGCGAGGTTGGAAGTGTTGCACGCGGACAGTGAGCCGGTACGGGGGTATACTGGGAGCGGCGCGCGCTGCCCTCATTGTCCTGTTACAAATGGCTGGAATTACCTCAGTATCGCACAATTTATTATTTCAGACTATTGTATCGGTAGTATCTGCGCAGTGTAAAATTTTTTTATGGCTTGTGCAGACACAGTTATCAAAATCATTGCGCACAGTCGTCCTTAAAAGGTTTGACCATAAGCACTACCTCGAGCTGTAATGGTGATGGTGCCTCTCACCCCAATAATGTACCCGCTCACACCGTGACATGGGGAATAATATCCGATACAATAGCCCAGTATTGTGTGCTTCCCTCAGTCAGGCCCGGGGTGGGGGCAGTGTATTTCTGTATATGCAATTATTATTATTATTTTGCTGTTGGGCAGTATGTGTGAGCTGCTGGTCTGTACTGTGTGGCAGTCATACCCTGCAGGAGGAAGATCATTTAAAGGGATACTACAGAGTTATACAAACCTTTATTCCTATCGCTATAGTTCCTGTTAGAACTACGCAGCCACCTCCTTTGTAATAAAAATGTAAAATGTTTTCTTCCTTGCCCATTTCCAACACAAAGGCTCCTTCGGCAGTGTTTACCTGGCCGCATCCTCCAATGTTGAGGAACAGTCATGGCCTCCAGTGGGACGGTCCAATCAAAAGCTACTTCTAGGAGCATTGAGGACTTACTGCGCATGCACACCGTCACGCTTTCCTATAGGAAAGCATTGAAGCAGCACTTTCCTATGGCAGCCTGTACATCACTTGAGTGAGTTTTACTCGATTTACATTGGAGTGAAGTTGCTATGGTGTGAAAAGGTCCCAGGTGCCAGTTTATGTTCAGAAGTTAAACTGTTACTGAACGGTTTAACCTCAAAGTTTCAATTCCTGGGATTGTGAGCTATACCCAGCCACTTCCATTTGAGTCAGAGGCTTCAATCAAGAAGCCTGGGACTTGTCGCTGTCATAGCGTCCACCGACCAGTAGCTCCTGATTCACAAAACGAAATGAAAAGGGAAGCTATTGACATGGGGAGCTACGGACATCCCGAGAGTGTCAGCTGATGCTCTCAGCCTACCACCTGCACACAGTCTGAGGCTTCCTTATTGATGTCTTGGACTCAATTAAAAGTAGATGGGTAAAGTTGATGATGGGCTAACCACTGAGTTAAAAGGACCACTATAGTGCCAGAAAAACATACTCGTTTTCCTGGCACTATAGGGTCTCAAGGTCCCCCCTCCCGCCGGGCTCACTCCGTGGTGGGGACTCACCACCTCCTTTCCCCGTCATCGGCTGAATGTGCGGCATGAGCCGCGCACGCATTCAGCCAGTCTCATAGGAAAGCATTATCAATGAAAATCACAGTGAGAAGTGCCTCTAGCGGCTGTCAATGAGACAGCGACTAGAGGCTGGATTAACCCATAGGTAAACATAGCAGTTTCTCTGAAACTGCCATGTTTACAGCAGAAAGGGTTAATCTTAGATCGACCTGACACCCAGACCACTTCATTAAACTGAAGTGGTCTGGGTGCCTATAGTGGACCTTTAACCCTTTAAGGACCAAACTTCTGGAATAAAAGGGAATCATGCCATGTCACACGTCATGTGTCCTTAAGGGGTTAAGTCTGCGCCAGGGACCTCCTTACAACATAACTTCATTCTGATTAAGTTGTTATGATGCCCAAAGTGTGTGTAAAGACATAGGCAATTATCCAAGTTCTGAAGCCAATCATAGAATTTGAGCTATATGTCTGTTCCACCATAATTTACTTATTTTATATTGAAGCGGTACTGACACACCATAGTTACCGCATCTAATTTTAACTAAAAACATAAGACAAAGAAGGAACTACTTTGTCTTATGTATTCTTTCTACTCCTGAAGTGTCAATCCCACCATCAGGGAATTGGCTCTGTTTATGTTGAATCTCGTGAGATACTCCATAGACCTCAACGCTGTACCCTCATGCATGCACTAGAGTACAGCAGTGATGTCGGCTCCTGGCAGGAAAGCATTCAGCCAATGGTTTCCTATAGGGAAAACCTAACGTGCTCGGCAACCTACGAGTATGCACATTTGGTTCCTACTTTTGTTGATGTCGGAGGAAGCCTCCCCTAAGGATCTCGGCGTTGGAATGAGGTCAAGTAGAAAAAGGGTTTTTAACCCTTTAATTGCCGAGGAGGGGGCAGAGGGATAATATAGTGTTAGGAATACAGCTTTTGTTTGACTTCGTTAACAGCATGCTCGCCTCTTCATCAGTCGCTCCATTCCTATATTCCCTTGCCATGCTAGGAGTGTCGGCTTGGGAGTTATCCTAGCAACCATGGCGCATGCACCGTGCGTGTGGAGTACAGAAGGACCGCTGTGGAGGGTCTTTTTTGCTCTCCCTTGTCAGTCAATTCTTTGGCATAAAGACCACACTGAAAAACTGACTGACAGTGAGAGACCTATTTTTAATTATATATTTTTTCTCTTCCAATCAATACTTTTGCTACCACAATATATAGATCAAATTTTATGGTCTTTAGAAGAGCATATGTTGTTATAGGTACCCTTTAGTAGTCCATACTTTGTCTCAGTATATCTTCAAAGAGAGTCAATCTGAGTGTTTCATAAATACTCATTTTGGAGTGGGAGGGTGACAGCGCCGCTTTCAGCTGAACTTTGTGCAGTGCTGAGGCATCCTCGGCAGCACTGCTCACTTCTCCTCTCATCATGTCACGGAGGAGTGCTATAATCCAATGCTTCTTGTAGAAGCATTGAATCAATGCTTTCCTCGGGGAGCTTCTCTGTCACGGTCAGTGCAGCAGAAGTGCTTCTAGTGGCTGTCATACTGATAGCCACTAGAGGTGGACTGAATCCTGCAATTTTAAAGTAACACTATAGTGTTAAAAACATTGTTTAGGCTTCCATACCCCCTTTGCACGCTTTAAAAAGGGTTAAAACGTACCTTTTATTTGTGCGCTTGTTCACTGCGCTTGGCCATTCTCCGCCTCCTTGACTACGATCAAAATTAATGATTCTAGCCAATCCAATGTTTTTTCCATCGTAAAGTATTGGGAGACTATTCCGCATGCATAGCAAAATGCTGCGCCAATCAGCATCTACTCATAGAGATGCATTGAATAAATGCATTTCTATGAGGAGCGTTTAGCATCTCCATGCAAAGCACTGACCCAGGAAGCACCTCTAGTGGCCGTCTGAGTGACTGCCACTAGAGGTGTTCCATGGCAGTAATGTTAACCCTGTCATTTCTCAGAAAATGCAGTGTTTACATTAAAATGCCTGCATGCACATACTATACACGCCAGAATAACTATATTAAGCTGTAGTTGTTCTGAGAACTGTAGTGTCCCTTTAACATTGGGATAAAACTAAAACTTGATTATTTTCTTAGATTATGTTTTTAGAATTTTTCTTTTCACATCAGGTTTGTCAATTAACATTTGCTTAAAGGGAAACTCCAGTGCCAGGAAAACAATCCGTTTTCCTGGCACTGCAGGTCCCCTCTACTTCCCACCACCTATCCCCCAGTAGCTGAAGTGGTGAAAACCCCTTCAGGTCACTTACCTGACACCTCGCCGATGTCCCTCGGCGGTGGTTTCTGCTCGCCGCCGCTCCTCCCAGTGATTACGTTAGTTGGTGGGCGAGACTGATCCCGCCTGCCGGCTGAGGAAACCTAATGTGCATGCACGGCAATGCCGCATTAGAGTTCTCCATAGGAAAGCATTGAAAATGCTTTTCAATGCTTTCCTGTGGGGAATTGAGCGAAGCTGGAGGTCCTCACACAGCGTGAGGACGTCCAGCGACGCTCTAGCACAGTGCTATGGACACGGAAGTGCCCTCTAGTGGCCCTCTAGTAGACAGCCACTAGAGGTGGAGTTAACCCTGCAAGGTAATTATTGCAGTTTATAAAAAACTGCAATAATTACACTTGCAGGGTTAAGAGTAGTGAGAGTTCGCACCCAAACCACTCCAATGGGCAGAAGTGGTCTGGGTGCCTGCAGTGTCCCTTTAAGAGAGGATGAGCTTATTTACAGACTTTATACATCTAGTTAACATATGTTATACACACCAGAACTAATACATTAAGCTGCACTTGTTCTAGTTCTAGACTATAGTGTCCATTTAAGAGGACAAGGAGCCTGTACCCAGACAACTTTATTTAGATGAAGTGGCAGGGGTGACTATAGTATTTATTTAATATAGGGTTGCAGCATGGGATACAAAACTATGGTCATTAATTAGGCTCTAGTCCTTTCTTTTTTTTTTTTTCATTCCACTTATTTATCAGTTTACCTTAGAAGATACTTTGATATGTATTTTTAGCTTATTGAGGTTACTTCATTGGCCTGTTGAAATTTTGTTTAATGGTATTCCTATTGTTTCAGCCCGGAACATAGTTTAGGTGATTTTTTTCCATGCTGCAGCACAAAGATGTTTTTATTCTCTTTTTCTAATAGGGGTTCTACTGCTTTTATGGATTGTTGGATGCTGATACTGGGGTTAGGATGCAGTTTAAGATGTTGAAATTGGGGGAACAGATACAAGATAATCAGGGCTTGACAAAATTACTTGGAATCTATGAGCCATTTTGCATGTATTTTGGATCTGGAATGCCCTTCTGGGTGGGATCAGTTTGATAGGCAAATGGCCCTGGTTCTTTTTGTAATTACACAAGATGAGCTAAAATCAGCTGGAGATCTGAGCAGGGACCCACCAAAGGGCAGGCTACTTCAGCTGTTGTTCAGTCTCAGTACTCTCTTGCACCTTGTTCTTTGCTCTCCCCAAGTTCAAAGGGTAATCCAGAAGTGGACACCTTGTTCACAGTGCCTAGAGGGGTAACCCTATACCTCACTGACAAGGCCTAACAAGACTGAAACAGTTGTCTGGGGTTGCTGTATCTCTAATGCAGAGAGAGCCAGCCTGCATTTTGGATCTGGAATGCCCTGTTGTGTGGGATCAGTCTGATATACAAACTGCCTTGAGCTGTTGTCCGTTCTCAGTATTATCTTGCAACTTATTTGCTCCCACCTAAAAAAGTTAGGAACCATTTTTTTTTTTTTTTTTTAAATGCTTTATTTTCAACAAAAAAAATACAATTCATAAAGGGACACTCCCTCGCATTAGAGCCCCCTGAAGCCGCAATCAGCGCCGAGATGCATCAGGGTTGTATTTGTGAGCAGTGTTTGTGCATTTGAATGTAAGCATGTTTTTGTATAGAGTTTGTGTGCATATAGGTGTGTATTTGTATATACTATTGTAATGCAGCGATGTACTTGTGTATTGGGTTTTGTGTTTGAATGCAGGGGTGTGTTTGTATGTAGTGTTGCCTTTTAAATGCAGGTGTGCTTTTGTGTGTAGTGTAGGTGTTTGAATGAAAGGGTGTTTGTATATAATTTTAGCGTTTTAAGACGGGTGTATTTATATGTAATGTATGCCTTTTAAATGCGGATGTACATTTGTGCATATTATTGGTGTTTCAGTGAAGGGTTGTGTTTATATAATATTTTGGAGTTTGAATTATTGGGTATGTTTTTATATGTAGTGTTGGCTTTTAAATGCATGTGTGATTTTGTGTGTAGTGGTGGTATTTGGATGAAGGGTGTTTGTATATAATTTTTGTGTTTTAATACAGGATGTGTTTGTGTTTATCCCCTAAAGGACACATCTTCAAAAGCTTGTCTTGCACTTAAAGGACCACTATAGTGCAAGGAAAACATACTCGTTTTCCTGGCACTATAGTGCCCTGAGGATGCCTCCACCCTCAGGGTCCCCCTCCCGCCGGGCTGGATAGAGAGGAAAGGGTTAAATCTTACCTTTTTTCCAGCGCCGGGCGGGGAGCTCTCCTCCTCCTCTTCGGCTGAATGCGCATGCGCGGCAGGAGCTGCACGCGCACTCAGCCAGTCTCATAGGAAAGCATTCATAATGCTTTCCTATGGACGCTTGTGTCTTCTCACTGTGATTTTCACAGTGAGAAGCACGCAAACGCCTCTAGCGGCTGTCAATGAGACAGCCTTTTGGAGACTGGATTAACCCTATTATAAACATAGCGGTTTTTCTGAAACGGCTATGTTTATAAAAAACAGGGTTAATCTTAGAGGGACCTGGCACCTAGACCACATCATTAAGCTGAAGTGGTCTGGTTGCATAGAGTGGTCCTTTAAGGGCACAATAAATTTTCAAATTTCTTGCTGTTTGCGTTCAACGGCAATTTGCATTTCACTATTTTATTGCACAAATGCATATTATATGCCGTTTTTTAAAGGACAAAAAGGGCTTTAAATTGATGTAACATATACATATATAAATGCTTATTTATTATAAAAAAATACAAAAAATGCCCCCAAATTTAAAAATATATATATTTTTTTTCAGTTTTTGCCATAATAATGTGTGCATAATTAGTGCAGGTTAGGAAAAGTAATTAAAAATAAATTAATTTAGTTTTTCTGATTTACAGACTATGTAATGTGTCTAGGATTTTCATTTTGTTTTTTTTTTTGTTTTTTTGTTAGTTACAGGTCACAAAACACAAGGAGTAAAATAAACTTTTAATGTGGAGCGATTTTAGAATTTGGCATGTTTGTCTTGTAAGCTTAATAGCCATCAGAGAAAACAAAATTGCCACACAAAAGTATATATTTATATAAAACAGACTTCACAGGCTATTTAACGTTATTTTGACACTTTTTAAGTAGCCATTTCACCACCAATCTCTGCTACATATTGGACTAAAATGTATTTTTTTTTTTACACACAAACTTATAACAAAGAACTTCTCGTGTGTATTTTGTAAAGTTGGTGTGTGACTAATTTTGTGTTAAGCTACATCTGCTGAGTACAACGATACCCCCATTGTCTTTGGCACTATTTCTTGAAGCTACAGTGCCATATGGGAGACCTGTCCATTTCAGTAATTACATTTTTTACTTTTTACACAAGAACTTTAACTAAACAATGTTAAAAAAAAAAAAATCTTTTTTTTCTCTATTTTTAAATATCTTTTCACCCCTAACATAACACTAAACTCCCTAAATTCCCATGAATTACCACGCACCCTAATTAACTAAATAAAATTACAAATATAAAAATAATGAAATAATCAGTCAGAGGTCAGAATTGCAGAAGCCTCCTTGGCCCTAAACGTCGTCAGCAACTTTAAATGGAAGAACTAAATAATAACAAATAAAAATGTATGTGTGTGTGTGTGTTTAATATATATATATATATATATATATATATAAACAATGTGCAACTTATTCTCTTTGGGTGTGAAAAACTTTAAAACAGTTGCCAATGCAAAGGCCGACTGAGAGGGGCAATAAAAGCTGGTTGGTTTCCTTCCTTATGCCCCTCTGGTAGCACAACCTGCACCTTTTCTGGGGTGTCTCCTTTTTGGGGGTTGGTGGTATGCGGAAACAGAAGTGACCTGTCTCAACCCTTCTGCTGCTAGGCTTGGCTTATGGTTCCCCACTGTGGCACTCAGTGAGCAGCCCAGAAATCCGCTGAAACTGGAAATCCAGAAATGTGGATTTAATGTCAGCATTTGCCTTTTTGTACAAAATAAAGGCATTGTGTGTCGCCATTTGCATAAGGTAAATGCCAAGCTTTTTGTACCATGCCCTGGTCTTCCTCAGTATTAAATATGGCTGCAGCAGTTGGTCGGACAGGTCAACTCCCCCCATATGCTTGTTGTACTGCCTAAAGCAGACTGGCACTCGTCTAATTTCTTGTCTGCCACGAACTGCGACTCTCCGAGTGTGCTCAGTATGCATGGATGTTAGCATGAACACCTCCTTTTTATCTTTGAATTTGAGAGCCAGCAATTCGTCCTGGCAGAGAGCAGCAGTTTCCTCCCTCTTGAGCTTTTTTTGTGCCAGGGCTTTTGGGAAACCGACATGTTTCTTTCGTATAGTGCCGCAGGCCACAGTTTCGAAGCAATAAAGCATCCTAAGAAGAGGGATGCTATTATAGTAATTATCTATAAATAAATGATACCCCTTATTTAGCAATGGGTTAATTAGATCCCATACGATTTTCCACTCGTCCCAATAATATCTGGGCAGCCTGGGGGATCCAAGTGACTGTCTTTACCTTCGTAAACATGGAAGGTGTAAACATAACCACTGGCACTTTCACAACGTTTATATCACTTTATCCCATACCGGGATCTTTTGGCCGGGATATATTGTTTAAACCCCAATCTGCCCTATTTTATTAAAGACTCATTTACACAAATATTTTTTTGTGGGGTGTACAATGAGCCAAATTGTCTGTTGAAGTGGGAAATAAGGGGGAGAATCTTATAGAGATTATCATACTGACTATTATCTCTTGGGGGGCACTTTGAATTGTCGCTGAAGTGTAAAAAGCGAAGTATTGCTTCATATCTGGACCTATTCATGGTCTGGGAGTAAATAGGGGTGCTGCATACAGGATTTTTGGGGCAGTACATCCTGATGCTGGGTTTTTTAATAATGGCCATTAGCATAGTTAGTGCCCCAATTTTTTTTAATTCTGGCACACTGGGGTACCAACTCCCTTGCCTGGCGATGAGACTCTGATCATTAAGTGGTAGTTACTGCCCTAAAATATCATCCCCCAAGTATAACTTCATGAAATCCAGTGCACTGTAGTTAGTGACGTCCAAATGAATTCCAGGACTAGCAGTAAACTCTGGGATGTCAGGCGTAAAATCATTTAGGGGTTCCCAGTCACCAGCGTCATGAGCCAGATCAGGGGACTCTGCGCTTACAACAGAGGGCCCTGCAGTATCTGGCACAGAGTCATCACCACTCTCAGGGGCACTATCTGTGGCGTCAGAGTCGGCAGCTAATATATCATAGGCCTCCTCAGCAGTGTACCTTCTAGACGTTTTGAAGGTGTAACTTTAACTTTTTTTTTAAACATTTTTTTTTCTTTTTTTTTTATACTTTTTTTTTAAACTTCGATCTAGACTTCCGGTCTAGACACAAACCGGCTCCATTAATTTAAAGTAGTTTTGGTGGCTATTGTGTCCCTTTAATGTGTGCATTGATTGCTGGGTTGTGTTTAGATGTAATTAGGGATGCACCGAAATTTCGGCTGCAACGGGTCAAATTTGCCAAAACGTAAAAAAATAAAATAAATTATTTTTACATTTATTTTTATTTTTGTAGTGCATAGACATACTTGCATTAACAATTCAGATGATTATATATCACAATGAAAGTTGGTAATGATAACATGAAAAGTCAAGAGTACTGCACTAGGTACAGGGGGAGGGGAACACTATGGGACAGAGGACGGGGGGAAGAACACTATGGGATGGGGAAGAGGGGGGAAAAGAACACTATGGGACTGGGGAGGAGAGAGGGACATTAAGGGGGGGCACTAAAAGAAGGGAAGTTTTTCATATTAGTTTAATTAAATTAATGAAAAAGTCTAATATTAATAAAATTATAGGAAAAAACCTTTAAAAAATGATTTTGGGGAAAAAAGTTGTTTTTGGCCAAGGGCATCCTGAATTTCCGGTTTCGGACCAGAATTCTCTTTTCGTTGCATTCCTAGATGTAATGTTGGCTTTTAAATGTGGATCTATATTTGTATGTAGTATTGGTGTTTGAGTGAAGGGGTATATTTGTATATACTTTTGGAGTTTGAATGCAGGGGTGTGTTTATATGTAATATGTGAGTTGGTGTTTGATTGCTTTGATGTATGCACAGGCACAAATACACTGCCACATACATACATACATACATACACATACATTAACACACTGACACACATATCTTGACACACACCACCACCACCCCTGACACACAGATGCACACCTTGACACACAAATAAACACGATGTGACATACACATTTATGTCATAATAAATTACATAATTAGTATATTTGCAGCCACCCGCCTGTTAGTATACCTTTTGTATCCAGGAGGATGGCGTGCTGGCTGAGGTTGATGGGTGTGTTGGGTCTGGAGTGGCTCTCTCTCAAGGTGCCTGTGTGACCTTCTCCTCCTCCCTCATGGCGAGCTCAGTAAGGAGCTATGAGGAGATAACTTACTCCCGGCATCGTTGATCGTACAGGAACCTGGTGCAGTCGCGCCGGCGGTTGTTCCGCCTCTGACGGAGGCTATTTTAATGAGATGGTCTCATAGAGACCATTTGATAGAAACGTAGAATGTGGCGGTAGATAAGAACCATTCAACCCATCTAGTCTGCCCAATTTTCTAAATACTTTCATTAGTCCCTGGCCTTATCTTATAGCTAGGATAGCCTTATGGCTATCCCACGCATGCTTAAACTCCTTCACTTCTTTTAAATATAGTCTCCTCCTTTACTGTTTTGATTCCCTTTATGTATTTAAATGTTTCCATCATATCCCACCTGTCTCGTCTTTCCTCCAAGACATACATGTTAAGATCCTTTAAAGGGACACTATAGCTTAATGTAGTTGTTCTGTTGATTATACTAGTTCCCTTTGGTCTTTTTTCATGCAAACACTGCCTTTTCAGAGAAAATTCAGTGTTTACATTGCCTCTAGGGACACATTCAAGTGGCCACTCCTTAGATGGCCACTGGAGATGCTTCCTGGGTCAGTGCTGCCGAAAAGAAGCACTGACGTTCAGCATCCCCACGCTTTGCATCAGTGGCGTACACACAATCCCCGGTGCGAAACTGATCCATGGGCCCCTCTCACTCCCCCGACAGACACACACAGACACACATACGGACACATACATACATAGACACACACATACATACTCACACGTCACACATGCATACAAAGGCACATACATACATACAGACAGGCACACACACACGCACATATACAAAATCTTTGTCACCCTCCTGTTTCCTACCTTGTAGGTGCAGGAGGGTACTTTCCCTGGGGTCCAGTGGTGGCTTAGGTTGATGGGAGTCAGAGTTCCCAGTCTGACTCCCTCTCCTTCCACTCGCGCGGGCTCTCTGATATCTGGGAGGAGACACTGGAGCAGTCACTTCCTCCCAGCTGTGATGTCATCACAGGGGGCCCGGTCGCGCTGTTAAAGCGAAGCAGCGCTGACTGAGCCCCCTGGAAATCCATACCCATTGGGTAGCATGGGCTACCCGATGGGACACTTGAACGTGCGGCCCCAGCCCCCAATGGGAAAGCATTGGATTGGCTCAAAATCGGCCAATTTGAGTGTCACAAAGGGGGCGGAGCCAGCACCGGCAGACCTGCGCGGCGTTGGAAATAAGGTGAATTTTAAACTTTTATAGGGGGACTAAGGTTAGGGCTCTGTCAAATATTCTGTACTCTGCCCTTGAGTTTTTACGTCCAAGATGCATTATCTTGCACTTATCCACATTAAATGTCAGCTGCCACATCTCTGACCATTTTTCTAGTTTACCTAAATCATTTGCCATTTGGCTTATCCCTTATTGATGAAGAGCCTTGAAGAGAGCACTGCGATGAGGGAGAAAACATAAGCAAACTCACTTTTTTCGTTTACACAGGGGGAGGCCAGTACCCTATTTAACAGATCACAGATACATTATGTTATTCACAGTTTGCTGGAATCACTGCACACACTTGGTAATGCAGATAGTTAGAACATTTGCATATGCGTATGTGTACCAATTGGATACAAAAAGACATCTGTCACTGCAGGTTTTTGGTTAGCAAATAACTTATGCTAGATCAGATAAAGATGCTAATGTAATTAATCAGTGGGTAATATTATATTTTAAGCTGGTTACAATGTAAAAATAGTGACAACATAATACTACGTTCTAGAATAGTTTTGAGTGTTTCTGATAAGAGTAGATTTGCATCTTGTAAGGAAATGACAACTACTTCCTTATTTAATTATTTTCTTTGTTTGCAAGGAGACTGAAAGAGCTTAATGCTAAGACGCTTATTCACCAAAATTGGCTGGAGAGTGGTCAACTTATGATCTCAGCCAATGAACTAGCCCTGCACTCCTGGACTTACCCAGGGAAGCTAATGGAAATTAAAGAGCTGACGCTTTCAGCCTAACAGCAGTGCCGACTCATCGACTTCTCTGAGGCTTCCTTATTGAAAACTTGGATATTGTCAGAAATTAGGGTTCAGAGTGGATAGCTACTGGCTCCACTACCTTAAGACCAGACAGTGCCCAGGTTCTCCTGGCTTAGTAGCAGCTTCATTGAATTACATTGTTATGGTGCCTGGAGTGGGTCTGTAAGGGAAAAGGTAGTTTTTAAGCCACAAATCTTGTATGACTAAGCTATGAAGGAAGCGGTGAGAGGCTTTTCTTTGAATAGACTCTCGACTGTTAAATTTTGGCTTGCTTTATATTCTTTTATGTAAGCGGCTTCTTAATATATATTGGTGTGGAACTTATTGCCGATATGAAGTGAATCTTTTTTTTGTAGATTTATAAACGGACTAGCACATTGTCATTAGACCTAGGATAGGACACCCCTGTGCTCTATTCATAAAGCCCGGACATGGATCTGTAATGTGTGAGTGGTTCCTTAAAGGACCACTCTAGGCACCCAGACCACTTCAGCTTAATGAAGTGGTCTGGGTGCCAGGTCCCTCTAGGATTAACCCTTTTTTTTATTTTTTTTTAAGTAAATCAATAATCAATACTGGACTCAGTAGAAATAGTGAATCTTGAATCAATGAAAATATAGTGATGAATATTAAATAGTCTTTAGATGTACCAGCTGGCTAGATCTAAACCTCCTATAAACAAAAGTAGGTAGAATACACTGGCTGGTCAAGGGTTAATATAGTAGAGATCCTGTATAATAGAATCAGTACACCATGTATCAGAGTAGTATATGGTATATAAACAGTAATAAAAATTAATAGTGTGACAAGACCAATCTCGCCACATTGCATTGGAGAAGACTGGTTGCTCGCCTGCTGCCTTTGGACTATGGCCCCATGTTAAAAGACATTGTTTTTCCCTGCAGAAAAGACTTATTCGTGATTTTCTGCCTGGTGTTCGGTAGATTCAATCTACCGAATAACCACACGAATGACTGGACCACCTGGGAGCTGGAGTGTGCCGGCAATTAGCCTCCCTGAAGCTGCGGTTAACCGCAGCTTAATTGACGAATGCTGGGTGGCCGCCATTCGTATCACGAACACGAGGTCGCGGCCATTTTAAACATGCGAACGCACAGCGGTGTTCGACGCTTAATTCATGGAACTGAAATCGGACACAGTTTTGCGCGAACACCGCTGAAGCCGCCGACCTACCTTCTTGTTCGGTGAAAGTGCATGAAGGGCCCGGTGTTCGGTAGTTTTGTTTGAATGTGTTATACCCCAGATAGGAATCCGATGGTGCCCATTCGCATGAAACTGACTGTGTAAAGACTTTAGCTCCATGGCGATTAAACTGTATTCGTGTGTTCTGAGCGCCATTCGCTTAATAATGTGCGCTCAGACCTGAGCTATCTAGGGATATGTTAAATGTATGCTTTTAATGTTATGTGTCTCACATAGAGTATTTTAATAGTAATTCGTGTGTTAGTATCCCCACGTGCATAATGGCGATTTGCCTTTGTCTTGGGAGATAATTAGATTACCTCTCAATTATCTCCAAGGCAGAGGGGAGCGTGCGTTCCACTGCGGCTGCTGGATGCGTTCCAAACGCTCTCTCTCAGGAGCTGACTGTGCTGGTATGGAGATGCCGCCTTACACGTTTCGTGATTCCATATCACTTCATCAGAGGATGGCATCTGGGAGTCTTCAATCAATTATATACTCTTTTTAACTCATTCAATTACAATTAACCCTTATTTGACCGGAGTCCAACAGACCAATAAAAATGTAAAAATTAAACCACAAATACATGAATACAGTATTGTGAAATTATAAAACATGTAGCAATAATGTATAGTAGGTATAATTATTTTTTACACCTATTCATAAATAAATAATCAGCAAGTTTCTCAATAAGATAGAGGAATAAGTTATAAAGAATCTTAGCAGCAATGAGTTGGGACTGGACATACAAAGTACACATTAAATGTTATAAAGTTGAAATAATTCAATTCATCTGTATAGCATAGGATTGGACATTTGCAACATCAAGAAACATAGCATAATACAAAGTAGATATAGTGTGTTAATACATATACTGTATTAATACATATGTTGTTCTTGTAAGTCTTCTGAAAAATAAGATAAGATAATATTAATGGGGAGGTAGAAAAGACAATATACCAGAATATCATTATGGTAAAGTAATTATACACATGTAATAAACAAGTTAAAAAATAGAAAGGTAAAAAATGAAAATATTTATAAAAGAGAAGAATAAAAAGGAAGAATATTTAAAAGGATAATAAAAAAATAATAAAAGAATAATGAAAAAGGATTATAGAAAAGATGATAAAAAATAAATATAATAATACCTATCAATATGGCTAGAAAAGGACACACTTACTAAAAATATATAAATATAAAAATTTAAAAAATTAAATAATAATTGATAAATAAAAAGGAGTGTATATCTTATTAACAAAGAAAAGCATTACGCTCAAAGTCCACATTAAGACCAAAAGGTTCCAAGCTATTGAGTTAAAATATCCATTTAGCTTCATTTTTGTCAATCATCTTTTCAAAATCTCCTCCCCTCCAATGTGGATTCACTTTTTCAATGGCGTAGAATTCTAGACCCTTTGGATCATTGGAATGGTGGCTAGTAAAATGTCCTGAGAGATTGTGTGTTCAATCCATTTTTGATGTTACATTTTGATGTCCCAAACACAACAGAGAGCTATAAGCATAACCACAATTATCGTCAATCCCACACTATGAATGGAACACGTCTTGAGACTAATTACAGAAGAAATTAAAGAAGGAGAAGTACAACTCAATTTAAAGTGGACAAGCTATGTAAAGATAAAAGAGAAATCCCTGTAAAGTCTCCTAGGATGAAACAACATCCAGAACCACAAACTACTCAAATTCATAAGAGAGATTTTTTAGGGTATTTTTTAGAGAAGAGACGAGGACGGCATTGAAGAAATCATGGAGAGAAAGGGGGGGGATCAACCACGATCCCCAATCCAAAGGAAAAGGCAAAGAAGTGAAGAAGACAGAGAAGAAATAAACCAGATATAAGTAATTTAACACAGAAAGATGAGATAGAAAGCGTGTTTAATCTATCAAGTTATGATTTAAATAATGATGAAATGAATATACTTAAAAAAGGCCTAAAATTTGCTCCAAATAAAAAGAATTCATAATTCAACACTTTTATAGATCTCCATAAATTTATAAGGAAACTTACAGTAACAAAATACTTTCTAGAAAATAAATTTACCAAATGTATTGAAGAGGAGGGATACACACATACGGATCTTCATCCACAATCCATCTTCTATCCTAAACAAATCAAAAGTGATAACATTCGAGTCTTTGAAAGACTGGTTGAGAGAGATTTAAGAAAATTGGACAAAGGAAGGAAGATGAAAGATAATCTAACTATTAAAGAAAGAAAAGTTCTAAAAACACTCATGAATAATCCTGATATTATAATAAGATCTGCAGATAAAGGGGGAGGGGTAGTGGTGATGAATATTGCTGACTACGAGAAAGAGACTACTAGATTACTCAGTGATCTAAATACATATCTACCTCTCACGAATAACCCTCATGAGGTGTTTATGGAAGAATTTCTGGAACTAATAAATGAAGGCAAAGATAAAGGGATTTTAAATAAAAGGGAATATGATTTTATTTGGTGTCAACATCCGAAAACAGCAGTATTCTACTATTTACCTAAGATCCATAAAGATCTCACCAACCCTCCGGGAAGACCTATTATCTCAGGCATTAACTCATTGACATCCAATCTTTCCCAATATGTGGATCAATTTTTACAACCCATGGTGGCTAAATTACCATCGTATTTGAAAGATACTACACAAATTATTAAAGCTCTATCCAATATTGAATGGAAGGAAGGATATTTTTTAGTGACTACTGAAGTTACTTCACACGATAATAGAACACCTTCAAGGATGTGAAGCCATCCAACATTCGTTTGCCAAGTATTCGGATCTAAAAAATGACCAGATCAGCTTCCTTGTCCAAGCAATAGCTTTTATTTTGAGTCATAATTCATTTTGGGCACAACAGAGATTTTATCTTTAAATAGAGGGCACCACCATGGGGACCAGGTTTGCACCAAGTTATGCCAACTTATTTATGGGCAAGTGGGAAGAAGAATTTATTTGGAACAATACCCCACACAGTGCAGACCTGGTCCTATGACGGCGCAATATTGATGACTGTATTTTTATTTGGAAAGGAGATTTATCATCTTTAAGTGATTTTAAAAATTACCTTAATTTTAATCCGTACAATTTAAGATTTACTTTTAACCAATCCCTGGTAGAGTTTTTTTAGATTTGGAGATATATATTAAAGAAGACAAAATCCACACTAAGACGTACAGGAAACCAGTTGATAATACCTTTATCCCTTCTGATAGTCACCACAAGAAAACCTGGCTTGAGAACATCCCCTATGGACAATTTAGGCGACTAAGAAGAAATTGCACAGAACTAGATATTTGCACAAACCAGATGGAAGAAATGAAAGGCCAGTTCTTGAAGAAAGGATATGACCATGACCTGTTGAATAATGCGATGAACAAAGCTCTAAAAATAACAAGGGAAGAGACTATGGAAAGTAGAAGTAAAATATCCAAACCGGATACAGAGACCCCTGCATTTATTACCCAATTTAGTGATCAAGCAGGAAGAATTAGATATATCTTGAATAAACATTGGAAAGTTTTGAAAGAAGATAATACTTTGGGAGCCATGTTGGATGATAAATCCAGAATCTTCTATTCTCGGGCTCCGAATTTAAAAACTATACTAGCCCCAACAATTAAAGAAACTAGACCATTAAGAGTTAATCAAGGGATGGTGGGCTTTCAGAAATGTAATAAATGTTCAGGTTGTAAGAACAATCCAACACAACCAATCCTAACGAAAAAATTCAGTAACGTGAAAGGAAATGAAGAATTTAAAATCAAATCAAAGTCAAATTTGAATTGTAACTCCATTGGAGTAATTTATCTTTTAATATGTCCTTGTAAGAAACAATATGTGGGTAGAACAAAAAGAAAATTTAAAACGAGGTTAGGAGAACATATCCGTAACATCAAAAATGGATTGAACACTCACAATCTCTCAAGACATTTTACTAGCCACCATTCCAATGATCCAAGGGGTCTAGAATTCTACGCCATTGAAAAAGTGAATCCACATTGGAGGGGAGGAGATTTTGAAAAGATGCTTGACAAAAATTAAGCTAAATGGATATTTCAACTCAAAGGCTTGGAACCTTTTGGTCTTAATGTGGACTTTGAGCTTAATGCTTTTCTTTGTTAATAAGATATACACTCCTTTTTATTTATCAATTATTTATTATTTTATTTTTATTTTTTATTTATATATTTTTAGTAAGTGTGTCCTTTTTTAGCCATATTGATAGGTATTATTATATTTATTTTTTATCATCGTTTCTATAATCCTTTTTCATTATTCTTTTTATTCTTTTTTTATTATCCTTTTAAGTATTCTTCATTTTTATTCTTCTTTTATAAATATTTTTATTTTTTACCTTTCTAATTTTTAACTTGTGTATTACATGTGTATAATTACTTTACCATAATGATATTCTAGTATATTGTCTTTTCTTCCTCCCCATTTATATTATCTATCTTATCTTATTTTTCAGAAGACTTACAATTTAAAAGAAATTGGTCTAGATGAATATTCTTGTTCTTGGGTAGAACATTGGCTTAAGGATAGAGTACAAGAAGTTGTAATTAATGGTAAATTTTCAGGCTGGACAAAAGTGGTAAGTGGTGTCCCTCAGGGTTCTGTTTTGGGACCACTTCTATTTAACATATTTATAAATGATCTTGCAATAGGCATTGAAAGCCATGTATCAGTGTTTGCAGATGACACAAAACTTTGTAAAGTAATAAAATGTGAGCAGGATATTGCTTTTCAGAGAGATTTGGATAGATTGGGGGACTGGGCACTAAAATGGCAGTTGAAATTTAACATAGAGAAATGCAAAGTTATACACTTCGGGGTTAAGAATGCACAAGCAACTTACACACTAAATGGTAGTGAATTAGGGATAACCACACACGAGAAGGACTTGGGAATTGTTATAGACAACAAATTAGGCAGCAATATGTAATGTCAATCTGCAGTTGCTAAGGCCAGTAAGATTTTGTCATGTATAAATAGGGGCATAAATTCTTGGGATGAAAATATAATTTTGTCTCTTTATAAATCGCTGGTAAGACCACACCTTGAAAATGCTGTGCAATTTTGGGCGCCTGTTCTAAAGAAGGATATCATGGCACTGGAGAGGGTCCAGAGACGAGCTACAAAATTGATAAAAGGAATGGAGCATTTTAGTTATGAAGAAAGGTTAAAAAAATTAAATCTGTTTAGTTTGGAAAAACGGCGCCTGAGAGGGGATATGATAACTTTATACAAATATATTCGGGGCCAGTACAAACCTTTATCTGGAAATCTATTCATAAACAGGGCTATACATAGGACACGAGGTCACACATTTAGGCTGGAAGAAAGGAGATTTCATCTAAGGCAAAGAAAAGGTTTTTTTACAGTAAGAACAATAAGGATATGGAATTCTCTGCCTGAAGAGGTGGTTTTGTCAGAGTCCATACAGATGTTTAAACTGAAATTGGATAAATACTTACAAAAACACAACATACAGGGATATAATTTCTAATTAGTGGGGTAATAGCTGCTTGATCCAAGGAGACATCTGACTGCTCTTTTGGGGTCAAGAAGGAATTTTTTCCAAGTTTGTGGCAAAATTGGAAGCGCTTCAGACGAGGTTTTTTGCCTTCTTTTGGATCAACAGCAACATCATTTGTGAGGAAGGCTGAACTTGATGGACGCAAGTCTCTTTTCAGCTATGTAACTATGTATTAATACAGTATATGTATTAACACACTATATCTACTTTGTATTATGCTATGTTTCTTGATGTTGCAAATGTCCAATCCTATGCTATACAGATGAATTGAATTATTTCAACTTTATAACATTTAATGTGTACTTTGTATGTCCGGTCCCAATTCATTGCTGCTAAGATTCTTTATAACTTATTCCTCTATCTTATTGAGAAACTTGCTGTTTATTTATTTATGAATACGTGTAAAAAATAATTATACCTACTATACATTATTGCTACATGTTTTATAATTACACAATATTGTATTCATGTATTTGTGGTTTAATTTTTAAATTTTTATTGGTCCCTTGGACTCCGGTGAAATAAGGGTTAATTGTAATTGAATTTGAGTTAAAGAGTATATAATTGATTGAAGACTCCCAGATGCCATCCTCTGATGAAGTGATATGGAATCACGAAACATGTAAGGCGGCATCTCCATACCAGCACAGTCAGCTCCTGAGAGAGAGCGTTTGGAACGCATCCAGCAGCCGCAGTGGAACGGCCGGCAAGAGAGTTTAATTTACATCCCTGGACCTTCCGTCTACTTGACCCGGTATATTTTATCTCTCTTATGTGGGACTGCTTCTATTTTTAACTTACAATCTTTTATATTGTAGTGTGTTGTTTAGACAATAAATTTTGCATTAACTATTTGTCTGCTTCACATATATTAGACTTATTTTTGATCCCTTGGGGATTCTAACTATACTATTAATTTTTATTACTGTTTATAAACCATATACTACTCTGATACATGGTGTACTGATTCTATTATACAGGATCTCTACTATATTAACCCTTGACCAGCCAGTGTTTATAGGAGGTTTAGATCTAGCCAGCTGGTACATCTAAAGACTATTTAATATTCATCACTATATTTTCATTGATTTAAGATTCACTATTTCCACTGAGTCCAGTACTGATTATTGATTTACTTCAATAAGCACCCTACACCTAGGAAAATGAGTATGTTTTCCTGGCACTGTAGTGGTCCTTTAAAAGTTCCTTTTGTTGCATATACATATTATGTTATGTTTATTGCCTCTAGAGAAGTCAAAAACTGTCTCCTGGTTATTATAGGTATATACGTATACACTTGCTTACACTTTGGTTCAATTGTGGTTGTCCAAATAATTTGTGCATAAGTATATATTATACATGCTGTCTGTGTATTCTGCATTGTGCACTTACACCTTGGTTAATTTGTAGTTACTAGGTTGTGAAGGGCATATTGGATGGTCAAGAAATATTAAGTGGACATCTCTGCAAAATTACCTGGTACAATATACATACAAAGTTACGCTCAGTCTGTGGCCTGCAGAGGTAACCACCCGGCTGCATACCGGGAATCCGGTTGTTCACACTATTTAACAACGTCCAGATTTAGCAATTCAGAATTAAGCTCGAACAACACTGGACAGTGGAAACCCAATTAAATGCTTAAAATCTGGGCCTGAATTAAAAAAAAAAAAAAAAAGAAAGTGAACTATTTGCCTGCTGGTTCCATGGTGGCTACCCCACTTTCTGTACTTTATAAAAATTTTCAGAAAAAGTCACTTTTTGGATATAACCCCTAATGTGTCTGGTTTTGGAAATATTGGGGTCTATTTACTAAAGCCCAATGGACCCGTAATGAATAGGGTAAAGTATTCGATGCAATATGGGGCCAATGGTTATACGAAATCCTGACCGTATTTAACTGGAGCTTGCAAAAGATGTTCCAAATGAGCCTGAATGTGGTCATTTTAGCTGGAATTAAAGCTTATGGACAGCTGAAATACGGACCTATATGTTTAAAGAGTTACTCCAACCTCCATGACCACTTCTGTTTTTTTCTTTTACGTGGTCATTGTTGTATTTGTCTCTATGTGTACCATTTCTGCTTGAAATGCTGCAGATGCAGGTTTATTTTCACTTTTGTGCTAGGGCTACTTACATCACAACACACGTGACTTGATGTGAATGTGAATTCTGTGCAAAATTTACATCTGTTTGCAGTGTGCTGGCAACAGAACTTATACCCTTGTGGGTAACACCTATCTCCCCTCCCACATACATCTTCTTCCACTCCATTCACACCTTACAAGCATACTGCACCATGATGTGTATTTTCTTGTTGTAGATTTTATTATGCTGTCTGCCCCTTAAAGTGATATATACGTTATTCCAATAGGGGTAAGAATTTGATATTTAGCGCTCCACTGAGTGATCTTTTGGTGGTAGTACGATCCACTAAGTTCACTTTTTTCTTTCTCATTTACCTCCTCCCTATCAACTTCATCTTCCTCTTTTTTTTTTTTTTTTGGAAAATCCTGTCAACCCCCATTTCCTTCATTTACCATCTGAGAGCAATTGCATGCACCTTAAACTGATTAAACAGTCCTATGAAATGCTCCTCTGTGAGAAGCGTTTGAATGGACAACAAAGAGAGAATGAGTGCTGCGGGGAGTGGAAGACCCTCTCTTGGTGCTGGATTCAAGATAAGTTTAATCTTTATTTTATAGTGTTTTTTCATTTGAATTAAAGGACCTATTCACTAATGCCCAATAGGCCATATTATTAAGGAAATTAAACCATCAATAATAAAGGGTTGGAGTAATAAATGAATAACCATGAAGATATTGCAAGCATGTGTACAACTCTGGAAAAAAAAACAAATATGTAAAAAAAATAAAAAATCAGGACCCAGAGTGTAAAATACTAATTATTTATGACTTTAAGAATTATAATAATAAGTTTAAGGGAATTAAGGTATTAGGAAGCAGATAGCAGCTATTAAGACTAGAAACCAGGCAGATATTACTTCCCAGTTTCTAGAAATGCCTGATCCCATAAGGATGAGGTCAGTAAGTTATCAGAAAGCAACCTATCACTGGTCGGGTGGGGACTTAAAGGGACTCTACAGACAATGTTATCTCAGTTAAGTGATCTGGGTGCTCTACCAGTGTCCTATTGTTTTCATGACATTTGGCATCCTTTGCTCTTTTGTTTGTAAAATTCATGAAAGTGCACCTAGTTTTATGGGTGGTTTAGTGGGTTGGCGTGGAGCTGGGGAGGCTGAAGAAACTCCCTTAGCTGAGAGGCATGTGCAACAGTGCAAGCTTACCAAGTTTATAGTAAGTTTGTAAACATTTATTACACTCTGTTCAAATTTTACTTGCTTTATTTTGGTTTGCATATTTGTTTAAAAGTATTTGTTTGCTGGTTTTGTCAAGTCCCCCACCCCTCGCGGCGACCTTGCTTACCTCATAACAGCGAGCGGCGTCATCTGGTCCCTGTCTCCAGACTTGCAGAGTGTCTGACATTGCACGCTCCAGAGCAGCTACATTATATGTGTGCTGCACCCGGTCATGTGACCTGGCACGCAGTGATGACCTTAGAGACCACAAGGTAGGGAAGAAACTCCTCCTACGTGTTGTGGTTAACACTAATTGGAGATTAGCCAATCAGACACACCCTGTGTATATAAGTTAAGCTCTCCCTTGCATCAGTGCCCTGTTGTGGTCTTTGGTTTACCATTGAGCATTGCACTTGTTATTTGCATTTCCTGGTTACTGATATTTGGCTTTGTCTCTCGTTATTCCGTCTCTCTTTTTGCATAACCCGACCATTCTAAGGATCGGTATTGCAATTCTCTCTACTCTGTCCTGTATGCATGTTAGGGTTCCCTAGTGAACGTTACATTACGACAGGGCCAAATGGACCCAGCAGACATCTCATAGCATTTAGCTGCTCAGAATTCCAAGACCACCACTTGGATCAGTTCGCCCAGGCGGTACAGACTATTTAGCGCACAACAAGCCGATCCACTGGCCCCTGTTAGCATACTTGTACAGGAAGGTTCCTCTTACTCGGTACACATGACACCACCCCAAAAGTATAATGGTGATCCTGCCCTTTGTCGTGGGTTTCTGAAACAGGTTGATATACACATGGTTATGAACCCACGCTCCTTTCCTACTGACTGGACAAAAATAGCCTTTGCCATTAATCATCTCTCTGGCTGGGCTTTAGCATGGGCAAATCCTATATGGGAATCTGGTCCCAATATCACCTATGCTGATTTCCTGTCGTCCTTTTGGAGAACGTTTGACATGCCTGGTAGGATAGCTTCCGCTGGGAAAGCCTTGTTACGCATCAAAGAAGGTTCCAGAACAGTGGTAGACTATTCCATAGAATTCTGTACTCTAATGGCGGAAGTGGCATGGAATAACGATTTTCTGGTAACAGCTTTTCAGGTAGGATTAGCTGATTACCTACTCGATGAGATAGCATCCAGAGAGGTACCCGTTTTATTAGATGATCTCATCGACTTGCATTGTTATAGACAATTGCATTAGAGAGAGATGCTCTCTGCAACAGTCTTATAACTAGATGCAGGTTCAAACCTTGCCCTATGCTTCACTACCTGCTTTGCCTCCTTGTGCTCCACCACCAGAACCTATGCAATTAGGAACCACTAAGTTAACTGAAGAGGAGAAACAACGCAGAAAGAGACAAGGCTTATGCCTCTACTGCGGCAAAAAGGGGCATGTAAGGACATGTCCTGACCTGCAGGGAAATGCCAGCACCTAAGACCAGAGGAGGGGGTTGGTCTTGGGTGTTTTGGAGTTATCCCCTCACAACAAAAACTCTAGACTGCTTCTAGCGGTAACCCTCACCTTTAACGGTGAGACCATACATACCAAGGCCCTACTAGACTCAGGTGCAGCTGGCAACCACTCCTTCGCTGAGTCCCACGCCATGACCTTGGTATGCAAGGCCTCACCACTAGCCGTGGAAGCACTCAATGGCAAGCCACTCACGAAACTCAGGAGGTGCAACTCACCATAGGGGCCCTACACCGGAAGAGAGCATTGCCTTTCACGTGTTGAGTTCCCCTTCATGTCCTATAGTCCTCAGGTTTCTGTGGTTGAGAAAGCACAACCTCGTTATAGATTGGGTCACTTTGGACATATTGTCTTGGGGTTCTACCTGCCGATTACAGTGTCTCATACCTATGCATCCCGTTTGTTCACTTAACCTGCCCTCGGCCCCTCCTCTCTCTACCTCAGTGCCTCCACAGTACGCTGATTTAGCCCAGTTCTTTGAGAAAAGAGAGGCCGAGAGACTCCCTCCCCATCGCCCTTATGATTGTGCGATTGATTTACTACCAGGGACTATGCCATCTAAAGGTCGAGTATATCTCCTCTCTGAGCATGAGAATAAGGTCATGGAAGAATATATTGAGGAGTCTCTAAAGAAAGGCATATCAGGTGATCCTCATCTCCGGCAGGTGCTGGCTTTTTCTTCGTATCGAAGAAAGAGAGTGATCTCAGACCCTGTATAGACTATAGGGGTCTGAACAAGATAACGGTGAGGAATGTTTATCCAATTCCGCTTATCACGGAACTGTTTGACCGCTTAAAAGGTTCCAAGTGATTTATTAAACTGGATCTCGGTGGGGCATATAACCTGGTCAGGATAAGAGAACAAGATGAGTGGAAAACCGCTTTTAACAGTCGCAGTGGCCACTATGAATATTTAGTGATGCCCTTTGGCCTGTGTAACGCCCCTGCTGTCTTCCAGGACTTTATCAACTATGTCCTCCGACTATTACATGCACGTTGTGTATCTGGATAACATATTGGTATATTCACCTGATTTGGAATCCCACCATAAACATGTCAGATCAGTACTAAAGAAACTGCCTGTATTGCAAACTAGAGAAGTGCCTCTTTGATCAGACCTCTGTGCAGTTCTTGGGCTACATCATATCTGAGAAGGGTTTCAGTATGGACCCTAAGAAAATGGAAGCCATCAAGAATTGTCCGCTTCCACAGGGTCTTAAGGCCATACAAAGATTTGTGGGTTTCGGGAACTACTACAGAAAATTCATAAAGAAGTTCTCCTCTGTAGTAGCCCCAATAACCAAGATCATCAAAAAAGGGGTTAATCCCTGTGTTTGAAATTCTGAAGCCCTTGAAAACTTTCAAAACACTTAAAGAAGCGTATATGTCAGTTCCTGTTTTGCACCACTCTGACCCTTCGCTGCCCTTTATTGTCAAAGTTTATGCGTCTGTCAGGTGTTGGTGCAATACTTTCTCAGATAAAAACCCACAACGATCCTCTTCACCCATGTTGTTTTGTCTCCAAGAAACTGTCTGATGCAGAGGAAAAACTATGCTGTGGGGAACAGGGAATTGCTGGCCATAGTTTTGGCATTTAAAGAGTTGAGACACCTATGGGAAATTTCTTAACACCCTACACTGATGATTACAGACCACAAGAACCTCTCCTACATTGCCGAAGCCAGACATCTGTTTTCTCGCCATGCTAGGTGGTCCTTATTTTTGTCTCGCTTCCAGTATGCCATAACATACAGACCCGGATACCGCAACATTAAGGCAGATGCCATATCCAGGCAACTTGAACCACTGGAGGTCGACCCCTCCCCTCCAGAACCCATAGTCTCTTCCGCCAACATTATTGCAGCTACACACCTGGTTATCTCTTCCCTCTTTTTAGATAAAGTGAAGAGATATCAAAGCCAAGCACTACCTGAAACACCTACAGGTTTATTGTTTGTACAGGGAAGGGACAGGGAAAAAGTCATGACATTGTTTCATAGGTCGAAAACATCGGGACACCCAGGCATCACAAAAACGTATGATAATATAACAAGACAGTTCTGGTGGCTTTCTGTTAGGAGGGACGTCAAAGAGTATGTTATGACTTGTCAAATTTGTACTTAGGCCAAGTCTCCCACAAGCAAGCCACCTGGTCTCCTTATGCCACTCTCGGTGCCCAAGACGCCTTGGACGCACCTGTCCATTGATTTTATAGTGGAAATTCCCCCCCCGAGGGTCACTCGGTCATTCTTATGGTGACCAATAGGTTCTCTAAGATTGCTCACTTTGTTCCACTGAAGAAGCTTCCTTCTGCTGCGCATTTAGCGGAGGTCTTCGCAAAAGAGGTATTCCGGCTTCATGGCATACCCATCGATATCGTCTCTGACAGGGGCCCTCAGGTTATCTCACGATTCTGGAGGGGTTTCTGTACTGAAATGGGCATATCCTTGTCCTTTTCCTCATCTTATCACCCACAGTCAAACGGGGCTGCTGAAATAGCGAACCAATCACTGGAATCAAGATAATTGGTCCCGTCTCCTCCCGTGGGCTGAGTTTGCCAGAAACACAGCCTCCCATGCCTCCACTGGCATGAGTCCTTTGTGCACAACCTAGTGTCCTTCCCGGTGTATTCTCCAACAAGGGAATACCAGCTTTGGACGAACACCTAGCCTCTCTTCGGGAGATGTGGGACCGGGTCCACCTTGCTCTAACACGTGCTGTGGAATCCCAGAAAAAGTTCACTGATCATCATAGGGCTGCGGCTCTATGGCTGTCCACGAAAAACATACGCCTCCGTGTCCCCTCCAGGAAGTTGGCACCGAAATATATTGGGCCTTATAAAGTCTTGCAGAGAGTTAATCCTGTCTCTTACACTTTGGACTTGCCTCCATCCCTGCGCATCCCCAATACCTCCCTTCTGAAGCCTCTCCTGTGTAACCGGTATTCGAGGTCTGTTAGGCACCCCGGCCCTGTCCGTGCAGACTCTAGCAAGGAGTACGAGGTGCAGTCCCTTCTCGACTCTCGCTTCTTCAGGGGCACCCTACAGTACCTGGTTCACAGGGTTACGGCCCGGAGAAGCGTTCCTTCTCCGGGCCGTAACCCTGTGAACGCCCCTTGTCTTGTTAGGGCCTTCCATACTCGTTTTCCCTTGAAGCCTTCAGCTTCCTGCACTCCTGGCGGTCGTCGGAAGGGGGGGGGTTGTCAGGTCCCTGGCCCCCACACCGCTCGCGGCTACCTTCCTTACCTCATCACAGCGAGCGGCGTCATCTGGTCCCTGTCTCCAGACTGGCAGTGTGTCTGACGCTACACGCTCCAGCGCAGCTTCCTTATATGTGTGCTGCACCCGGTCATGTGACCCGGCACACATTGATGACCTCAGAGACCACAAGGGAGGGAAGAAACTCCTTCTAAGTGTTGTGATTAACACTAATTGGAGATTAGCCAATCAGACACACCTTGAATGTGTATATAAGCTAACCTCTCCCTTGCCTCAGTGCCCTGTTGTGGTCTTTGGTTTACCACTGAGCGTTGCACTTGTTATTTGGATTTCCTGGTTACTGATATTTGGCTTTGTCTCTCGTTATTCCGTCTGTTTCCCTTGACCTCGGCTCGTGTTTTGACTATCCCTTTTTGCATAACCCGACCATTCTAAGGATCAGTATTGCAATTCTCTCTGCTCTGTCCTGTCTGCGTGTTAGGGTTCCCTTGTGAACGTTACAGGTTTGGAAAAGATTGTCAATTGATTCATGTCCTTTTAAATGACAAACAAGCAGACTTTCCTTTGTTCCACTATTCTCTCTGTAGTCCACTCTTAAAATAAGTTATATACTTACACAGGTTGAATCTAGTACATATAACAATTTATACAAATAGAAATGAAAAAAACAACAATTCCAAAAGATCCAGAGCACTATATTAAAACAAGAGTCTTGCACAGTTATCTATAACATACTTATAATCCATAGTAGCAAACAGTTAACAAACATTAATTCAAATAACAACTCCCATAAATCTAGGCCTAAGTGTAAATAATTAGCTCAGCACTATATCATGCAAAACATTGTCTCAAATTAGTTGATTTAATAAAAACATTTAGTAAATTTAGGACTCCTTTTTTTCCAGGCTGCACAGTTAATGTAATCCACGTAAGCCTGGAACCTGGTGTAAGCCGAAAAAGAAACTTATACGTTCCTTATACTTATGCTGTCCTTAAAAGTGACTTGTGTGGGTGCTGATTTTCTCCAATCTGCAGCTCTCCGCAACAGAAGTAACGCAATGAGAAAACATGCGCAGAATGAATAATCTATAATGAGATTTGTTGACAACATTTAGTTGTTGGAGCCTTTTATAAGTCCTCACTAACACTAAATAACAATATCTAGTATGTTTTGTTAAAGGAACGTTATAAGGTCAGGAACACAAACACGTATACCTGACCCTATAGTGTTAAACCACCATCTGCTCCCCCATTACCCTCCATAAATATAGTATAATCTTACCTTTACTCCAGTTTGCTGCTGCTGGCTCTGCCCCTGGTCTGCCTGCTTGGCTGACATCAGAAGCGTTGCTAAATACCAATCACAATGCATGCCCATAAGAAAGAATTGGATTGGCTAAGACTGTTAAGGAGGCAGATCAAGGGCAGAGCCAGCACAATTTAAACACCACCCTGGCCAATCAGCATCTCCTCATATCGATGAACTGAATTAATACATCTCTATAAGGAAAGGTCAGTGTCGTCATGCAGAGGGTAGAGACACTGAATGTCAAGAAGCACCTCTAGCAGCCATCTGAGGAGTGGTCGGTGGATGTGTTCCTAGGTTGTAATGTAAACACTCTTTTCTCAGAAAAGATAGTGTTTACTGCAAATAGTCTGAAGGGAATGATTATACTCACCAGAATAAATACAATAATCTGTAGTTGTTCTGGTGACTATAGTGTACCTGTAACTTCTACTGTCTATAGTCAGTATTTGATAAATATTTATGTGGGTATATTTTTAATCTTGGTGAAAAGTATGGTTATTTGGTGTATGATTTATACACTTGTTATGCAATTGATCCTATACATGCATGACTACAGATAAGTTCAGGTAAATATATCTTAAGAGTATACTGCGGGTTGGACACTTTAAAAAAACATTTCAGCTCATGTAGTGGTCTTGATGCAGTCACTGCAGGCTGACTTTTGCAAAGTCATACAGTTGGAAGGGGTGCATGAAAATAGAAAAAAATAATACATAATGCTATCCTTTAACCCCTTAAGGACCAAACTTCTGGAATAAAAGGAAATCATTACATGTCACACATGTCATGTGTCCTTAAGGGGGTAAACAAAATTACAGCTTTGCTATGTTATATGTTAACTTGATAGACTATAAATTGATAGTAACAAATTTTATTTTCCCCATATCAACAATGGTCATCTGTAATGGGCTGAAAATGGTCAACTGACACTCTTGGCCAAGCAGTGCTGCAGATTGCTGCTTATACTAATACTTTCTCATTGGCATCAACAGCACAGATTGGATGGGCTGCTGGGGACTCTTTTAGCATTAAACCATTAAAGATGGTTTCAAACTAAATGGAAGGATGGTGCCAGGGAACTCCAGAGACTATAACTACTTCCATTAGATTAAGCTGTTGTTCTGCCTACAGTGTTCCTTTAACCGTTGTGTCACCAATTTCTGTAAGATCTACTGGTTATATTTAGTATTTTGTGTTTTTTCACACATGCTTCCTTTTCATGTAGAATTTCACAGTTCATGTATGTCCTACTACTGCCCCATAGTACAACAATATTCTACAGGTGTACTTTTATCAGATGTTTCAGGGACATGTAGGGTCAAATAACAGACATGCAGCATGCACAGCCAAGTACCAATCACTTTGGCATGCTGAGATACCTGATTGGAAACCTTTCAGACTCTTTTGGCCAACTTGTCTTGGAGGCAATCTCGGAATATCGCAACCGACATGACGGAGTGTGCTCATTCTGCCATGGTGATTCAAAGGGCTGTGTACTGCGTTCATCTTTAAAAGGAAACTATAGTGCCAGGAAAACAAACTTGTTTCCCTGGCACTTTAGCTTTTACCTCTGTCAAGGCTCTGTTTGGTAGATAGCCACTAGAGGCGGAGTTAAATCTAGCAGGTAGTTATTGCAGTTTATAAAAATTACATGTTCAAGGTTAAGGGTGATGGGATATTGCACCCAGACGACATCAATGAACAGTGTCCCTTTCGAAAGATTGCCTGGCTGGTAATGTTTTACTTGACTTTTATGCCCTGAATCGTGCTTGATGTATATTTATATGTAGATTGGAAAATGTGGTGCATACGAGCAACATATGTTGGATTGACTCATTTTAAAAATAGTCTGAGAATAGTACATTTGCTGCAGTAATATACATGTGTTTTGCATAATCATTCACACATACAGCTCTCTCATGGATTTTTCAATCTTGTTTATATCTAGGACCTTCACAAATTATGAACACCACTGAAGTACCTGTTCGAGTGAAAACCTGGCTTTCATCTACCTGGCATGTTAAAGTTCCAGACCAGTGGCTAGAAGCTTGCATCAGTTGGATCCAAGAAGAAAACAACACCTCTTCCTTGTCACAAGCAGAAATTAATAAACAGGTTTTTGAGCAGTGGCTTCTAACAGATCTTAGGGATTTACAGTACCCAGTATTACCTGTTGGAATACTGGAGTCTCTGAAATGTGAACTCAGTGGTTATTATGCAATTCAAATAGATTCCCTGGTGGATGTCAGCCTACCTGCATATTCACAGCTTCAGAAAATAAGAGGAAGGGACAACTTAAATGAACAAGTTACAGCTACTACTCAGGTTTCTCAGAAACCATGGGAAACTAAGCCAAATAGAATGCTCATGATACAACTTACTGATGGAATACAACAAATCCAGGGGATGGAATACCAACCTCTTCCGATGCTTAATGCTAACCTTCCACCAGGTACCAAAATCTTGTTACAAGGCACCATTGTTTGTCGCTTGGGTGTCCTTCTTCTTAAATCAGAGAATATGAAAGTTTTAGGTGGAGAAGTGGAAGCTCTAAGCGAGGAGTATACACAAGACAAAATTCTATCCAGATTGATTGGAGTAGAGGAAAATCCTTTACCTCAGAGTTCAAATATTCAAGATCAGGTTTCTGCAAGGAGTAATGATGAATTAGGAGAAGCCTTAGGATTGTCTGATGAAGATCTTTTGGCAAGCCTTGATGTTAATGATGAATTCACTGTTAACAATGGAACAGTCCCAGACAGTGGGTTTTATAGCCAGAATGAGAATTCACGTGTTTCACGCTTTGAAACGCAGCAAACGGAACACTCAGCATCTAGACAAGGGAGGATTCCAGAGTCCACTCTGTCTGCTCAGAGTACATCATGTCAAGAAACCCAGCAAATACCAAACCCAAGATCTAGGCAAGGCAGTATTTCTGGGTCAACTCAGATTGTTCAGGTAAACCGAATAGTTGGCTTGGAAGAAGACTATGATTTGGAAGATGATTTATTGTTGGAGGAGGAAGTTCAGCGTGAGTTAGAGGAAATGTCCATGGATCAGCCTATAGCAATAAATAGAAATCAAAGCTTAACCACAAGAAAATGTCCAAACACAGCTGAAACCACATCCGTAACCACACATACCAGTCATACATCTATGAATGAAAATAATTTTGATAATCCTCCATTCACATACTTGTCACTTATATTGGCTAACAAATGTACGGAGATGAAACTAGTAAATCTTAAGGCATTTATAGTGACTTTGAATGGCAATCTTACTAGCAGTGGTGGCTACTGGAATATTAGGGCTAAAATATCAGATGGGACAGGATATCTAGATGTGGACTTCAGTGACAATGTTCTTAGAAAGCTGATTGGATTTTCAGTGCCTGAAATGAAAAAAATTAAAAAGGATCCCTCCCAGAAAGAAAAACTCAAGGCAGGCCTTCAGAAGTGCCAAATGGAACTCACTGATTTTTGTGGCATTATGACCATTTCATATGATCCAACAAAGCCTGAAGGCAGTGTGGTAGCTCTGGAAGAAGTAACTGAAGAAATAATGCGCTCTTTAAGGCGAAGGTTAAATCTATTGTGAATTATTTATTAATAATACGTGGAATATTGTAAATATTTGGTCTGTTTTATAGGAAGCTAAGATTGTATATGCCTCTTGCTCAAATGTTAATGAGAACATTGCTGTAATCAGTTCTACTGTATATTGCATTTTTTTTTTTTAATTTTTTTTTTAAATGACACTATTTCATGTAACCACAATGCATGGTTGTAGAACACTTTCCCTGTAATGACTATAATCTGTCTCTAACTGATATTTATAACATTCTGATTGTTATGCTTTAATGCACCTTAACATTTCACCTGCCATATACTTACGTCAAATACCTTAAGTTGAACTTGATATGATAATCACTTTAATGTTTAAATAAAGTATTTACACTGATTTTTTTTTTTTATTCAAAGCCAGTGGTTATTCATACAATATAAATGCTTTTACATGCATTTGCATTTTTTATGTTAGTTTTTTTTTTCTTACGTTTTATTAACGCCTTTGAGACCACCTTTTTTTGAGATTCTGTGCTTTTGTGACGTCCTTTTTGGCATTTTAGCTTTTTGTTCTTTCCCTTATGATTTAAAGGACCACTATAGGCACCCAGACCACTTCAGCTTAATGAGGTGGTCTGGGTGCCTGGCCCAGCTAGGTTTAACCCTTTTTTCTATAAACATAGCAGTTTCAGAGAAACTGCCATGTTTATAGTAGGGTTAATCCAGCCTCTAGTGGCTGTCTCATTGACAGCCGCTAGAGGGCTTCCGCGCTTCTCACTGTTATTTTCACAGTGAGAAGACGCCAGCGTCCATAGGAAAGCATTTTTAGCATTTAGTGAATGCTTTCCTATGGACTGGCTGAATGCGCGCGCGCAGCTCCTGCCGCGCATGCGCATTCAGACGAAGAGGAGGAGAGCTCCCCGCCCGGCGCTGGAGAAAAAGGTAAGTTTAACCCCTTCCTCTCTCTAGAGCCCGGCGGGAAGCGGACTCTGAGGGTGGGGGCACCCTCAGGGCACTATAGTGCCAGGAAAACGAGTATGTTTTCCTGGCACTATAGTGGTCCTTTAACGCTTTCTCATTATAGGAACATGCATTCCTTTGGAATAACGGTCTCAGGCTTTGCTTTTGAAATAAATGGTTTTCTCATTCTGCAGGTAATATTTTTTTTCTTCCCTACGTTTCTCATGACTACCTTAGGGGGGGGGGGACATTGATCCAGCCAATCCCTAGATGTCATGGAAAATAGTATTGTACATGTGCAACTTAGTCATGCATGTACAATTGATTGCAGTCTTTGGAGTCCACCAGGGATTGAATGTGTGTGTGTATATGTGTGTATCACATTTGTAGTACAAGTGCCACAGTGCTCTTTCAGCCAAATCAACATAAAACTCCACGAAGAAAGGCACACGCTGGGCTTCTTGAAGAAAATTATGTCTTTATTAGCAACACACGTGTTAGAGCAAATCGATGTTTCAGTCAATCATAGGACTTTTATCCTATGATGGACTGAAACGTTGATTTTCTGTAACCCGTGTGTTAAGAAGCCAAATAATTTTCTTCAACAAGCCCAGCGTGTGCCTTTCTTCATGGAGATATATATGCCATTTTTTGTTGTTGTTTTGTGCATGCATTTCGCCATTGTCTGTAGGCACAGTGATAGTTTTACTCTCACTTTACATATGCCAATTCCAAACTCGCAAGAACCCAGATAAAAAAAAAATCAGATGCGCAGTTTAGATCTGGGATTAGATTTAATCATTGCCATGGGAAGTGCTTGAGATCATTTATAAAGGATTCTACATTACATTTCTTGAATGACCTGGTGATTAAAACCTGGGGGAGGATTTAGTACCCTTTATTGTGCACATAGTACACCTGTAAGTGGTCACTGAAATGGTTGGGGAGTATGCCCGCCTCCCTGATTCTGTCAGGAGAAGTAGAGAGTATCCAATCCAGCAAAGTATGGTTATGACTTTTCATATTAAAGAGACACTATAGGCACCCAGTACACTTCAGCTAATTGAAGTAGTCTGGGTGCTGTGACCCTTATGCACTTAGTGGCTGTCTAACAGGACTTTTGGTCCGTTATCTGACGTCCTCGCTGACCTCCAGCGTCAGATTTTCCCTATAGGAAAGCATTGAATAATGCTTTCCTATGGGAGGTCTAATGCGCGCGCGGCCATTGTCGCACATGTGCATTAGGTCTCCCCCGCCAGCTTACGTCAGTGGGGAAGGAGTGGGGGCGAAGCCTGACCCAGCGCTGAGGGACATCGACGCTGGATTCAGGTAAGTGGCTGAAGGGGGGGGAACTATCAACCCTTTAGTGCCAGGAAAACGGCTTTGTTTCCTGGCACTATTGGATCCCTTTAATTTGAAGGGTGGGAAATCCAAATGTTGCCATGAGTAATAGCCAGGAAAAGAAAATTATGGTAAGTATGAATTCATTTTCCTTATTCCTGGTTTATCATGGCAGCATTTAACTTATGGACAATACCCAAGCAGTAAAAAAACACAGGGATTTATTTACTTTGAAATTTACTAGAATTTAAGACTGAAAGGCCAAGTTGAGTACCAGGAGCTGAGGAAACATCCAATCTGTAATGTTGTACAAATGTTTTCAGAGAAGACCAATTCGCGGCTTTACAGATGCCCTCTGGTGAAAATCCAGACTCTGCCGTCCATGAAGTGGCAGTGGATCTGGTAGAGTAGGCATGTATGTTCTTTGGTACTGGAACACCTTGAAGCCTATTTGCTCTTGAAATGGTTGTGGCAGTCCAGGAGCGGAGAGTAGACACCAAGGCAGGTGAACCCCAAGGATAACAAATAGTTGAGGACATTTATCCATGCCTTTGTTCTTTGAATATAGACTAATAGGCATCTTTTGAGAACCTTTTCTTCTTCTGGGTTAGTTGGATTCTCGATATAAACCAGAAGTAAAATATCCTGATTCAGTTTATACGGAGAGACAACCTTTGGGAGAAATTCTGGTCTAAAACAGAGAATGACCTTATCATGATAGAATGTGATATAAGGTTCTTCCACTAAGAGACCTTTAATGTCAGCCATTTTTCTAGCTGAACCCATGTCTAAAATAACAGTCTTCTGTGTCAGCTAACAGAGATTTATTCTAATAGTTCAAATGAATGAGTTTGTTAGGGCTTGTAGAACCGGTGGTAAATCCCAGGAACACATAAAGTAACGGATTGGAGGTTTAATCCTGATGACTATTTTAATAAAATGTATTACCACTGGATTCTCCCTCCACTTGATTCCTGAAATGGCAGAAATAGTGGAACTGTGTACCTTAAGTGGGTTCAGGCTGAGGGCTCTATCCAGACCTGCCTGTAGGAGCCCTAATACCTGGGAAACAGAGGGAGATTTCAAAATAATATCTACTTGTTGCCAGCCAGCAAAGGCATACCATATCTTATAACATGTGGAGGAAGTAGAAATCTTTCTGGAACACATTACAGTTGAAAACCCTTCTTCCAGAAGTCCCTGATCCCTTAAGGATTTGGCTTTCAAGAGTCAGGTTCCTGGATATTGGAATTTCCCATGGATTTTCTATCATTCGATTCCTCTAAAGAGGAAACCATGGTCGACGAGGCCAAAAGGGAATAATGGCTATTATCTTGCAACGTTCCCTGGAGGTCCTCCGTAGAAGAGCGTGGATGAGGGAAATTGGAGGAAATAAGTATGTCAGCTGAAATGGCCATCTCGCTGAAGGATCACCTTGTGCTAATGCCCTGGTATAAAATCTTCTTGACATGAAGCAGGGAAGTTGGGAATTATGAGCTGTGACCATTAGATCCACTTTGGGAAGACCTCACTTCTGAGCCAGTTGCTTAAAGACCTATTTGGACAGTTGCCATTCCATGTCGCTTAGCTGATGTCTGCTTAGGAAATCGGCGACCATAGACCTGCTACATTCTTCTGTACACAATTCATAATCGGTTGTATTTCCTTCATCAGAGCACAACTTTTGGTACTTTCCTGATGACTGATGTATGCAACTGCCGTCTTGTTGTCTATTCTTAGTTTTATCCAACAATCTCGAAGAAGAGGTTGAAAGTGTAGAAGTGCCAAAAATGCTGTTCTCAATTCTTTTATATTCGAGGGTATATTGCTTTAACAAAGTAATCTTCCAAATGGGCTCCCTATCTGTCCTGACTGGTATCTGTTGTGATTATTATCCAGTCTAACTTCTTTAGAGGAAAACCTCTGGAAAGATTTTCCCCAAAAAGCCACCATTTTAGAATTATTTTTTTTTTATCTGTCTTGGGATGAATATCCTCCTGGGAACCAAGGAAAAAAATGTCTTTCAATATGCCATCCATTTTTTATGAAAAGGAAGAGGAAGTCCCAGCAACCCAGCCTATCACATGACATATCACTGGAAAGCACAGCATGTCCTCTTTACAATACAGCAGGGATTGATAGAGTAGCTCAAAAGAATAAAAGGAGATGCATGTAAACGAAATGTCCAGTACAGAGGACACAAGTTAATTGGCTGGGTCTCAGGAGTATATACTCCTTTCTCATTCCTGAGAGCTGATGTTGAAGTTTTTTAGAAAGTAATTCCATAAAAACATAAGCCTCGGGGGCGGAGCCTGCAAGCCTGACAAGCGGACGCCATATCTGAGAGCTCCCAAACAACCAAATATCCAAGCAACTATAGCCCATCCGACCGTCTTACAGCCACAGCTGGGTCCCCAGAGCCATAACGCATCGATAGATGCCTTTCTTTCATACGACAAAGCACTCCAAACCGTGGCGAAATTCCGCGGCCTACAGCACACCTCTGAGCCTGGGACTGGAAGCACTCCTCCACGGCAGCACCATACTACACCCGTAGGGAACGGAGTCCATAACCTCTCTGCCGCAACCGGAACACTGGACTGCAATGGGGAGACGATCCCAAAAGCCAAACACAGTGGCTGACGGCAGAGACATTGGGGACATGCTGAGACAGCCCGTGAAGCCTAAGCTGACCCCTGCTGGAGACCGGAATGAGGAGAACCGGGCGCAGGACAGACAAGAGGCTGCACCAACCACCCAGGCAAGTCTACTACACATAACTGACAACCCGGACGGGTCTGCACCCACAACAAAGCAGGATTTAAAACTCCTACTTAATGACATTCAACAAGTGTGGACTGCTGACCTCAGGGCACTGAGAACTGATATACAGGCCATAACTGACAGAGTACAAACCTCTGAAAAGGACATACTAGCTGCCAGAACTGACATCGTGGCCCTTAAAGAGACAGTACAAAAATTGCAAACCACTCAAGTCACACTGACACACCAAATCTCAGCCCTGGAGGATAAACAGCGCAGGAACCACATAAAAATCCGTGGCATCCCTGCTGCGGTGACCGCAGAGGAACTTCC